GCAATCCATCTGACACAATCTATAAGAGCTCTGTACTTAGGGATGCTGCCTTGATGGTAAAGCAATAATATGATTACCATATCTTTAATTTAAGGAGGGGCGGGTGTGGGAGGCGCTCAGGAGGCCTCTGGGAGGCTATGGAAGCTTATTACTTTGACCTGGGAAGGTGGTTTTTCAGGAATGTTTTTGATAAAGTAATAAGCTGCTTAACGTTTTGTGCACTTTTTAAAAGATGTGTTCTATATTTCGACAATACAAAATAGATTTTTTTTTTTTTTTTAATAAAAAGAAAATTCATTCGGGACAAGCTGGGCGTGTCCAAGAGAAGCCAGGACCCACCCCCAGGCACATCACCATCTGGCAGCCTGACCCCCCTCCTCAGGCCCAGTAGCGGCCTCGCGAGTCACCAGACTCCCAGAGCGACGGCTGCAGGTCCCAGGGTCCACGAGGGTGGGTACAACTCCCTGAGCACAAAAGAGCCCGGGAAGGACCACCGCCCAGCTCAGCACCCCAGCACTCCAGGAGCAAACGCAGTGGCCTTGGATCGTCTGCGCCTGCGCGGACGACTCGGCTGCGCATGCGCCCTCTGCCCCACAGGCGCTGTAACAGTAGGTGGAGTTTAAGGAGAAGCTGGCTCCGGGACTGGGACTGCAGTCATGTGTCCCTTGGACTGCGTTCAGGTTCCTAAAAGGGGCAACTATGTTCAGTTCTACAATTTTTTTTTTTTCCTGAGACGGAGTCTTGCTTTGTCGCCAGGCCGAAATGCAGTGGTGCGATCTCAGCTCACTGCAATCTCCGCCTCCCGGGTTCAAGCGATATTCCTGCCTCAGCCTCCAAAGTAGCTGGGATCACAGGCATGTGCCACCACGCCTGGCTAATTTTGTATTTTTAGTAGAGACAGGGTTTCTCCATGTTGGTCAGGCTGGTCTTGAACTCCTGACCTTCAGGTGATCTGCCCCACCTTGGCCTCCCAAATGCTGGGATTACATGCGAAGAGACACCACGCCTGGCCCCCTCAACCCTTAGCCCCCTTTTCTTTTCTTTTTTTTTTTTTTTTTTGAGACAGAGTCTCACTCTGTCACCCAGGCTGGAGTACAGTGGTGCGATCTCAGCTCACTGCAAGCTCCACTTCCCAGGTTCACGCCATTCTTCTGCCTCAGCCTCCCTGAAGTAGCTGGGACTAACTACAGGCACCCACCACCACGCCCAGCTGATTTTTTGCATTTTTAGTAGAGACGGGTTTCACCGTGTTAAGCCAGGATGGTCCTCGATCTCCTGACCTCGTGATCTGCCCGCCTCGGCCTCCCAAAGTGCTGGGATTACAGGCGTGAGCCCACCACGTCTGGCCCCCTCAGCCCTTTTATAGTTGCTCTTCCTTCCTCTGAGAAAGACAGACCTTAATCCAGCGTGGAAAACGCTGAAAATGCAAATGCATTGCACAGGGTAGAAAACTCTCTGAGGTGACAATCAAATAAACAATTTGAGATATTCATGTCAGAATTAATAAAGAGAATGATTAACGATTGGGTAACATATCCTTTTATGATTTAGCTGATTTCCAATTATTTACATTCTTCAAAGAATAACTCAGAAATGTTTAGTGAATTTGCTCACAAATTATTTACTCACATATGATGGAGTGAGTTGGTAAATTGAGTAAAATAACAAAGGCAAAAACAGAATTGATAAAGGGAGGGGCGAAGGGTAGAGGAAAAATGCTGCAGACGACCTGGGAACAGGGTAAACTATCTGCTGGTAGCTGATTGTGGATGTACAAATCTCTTCAAGATTTAACTGCCTTATTTTACAGGTAACAGAAACCTTGACTCACACAGTACAGTGACTTTGTTTAAAGCAGTTTCTCAACAGCAGCAATTCTGGTATCTGGGGCCAGGTAATTCCTTGCTGTGGGGACTGTCCTATGCACTAGATGGTGTTTAGCAGCAACCCTGGCCTTTACCCACTAAATACCACTAGCCCCTTCTCCCAAACCCAGATGAATTCACACACTGCCAAATGTGGGGGGCGGGGGTGGGACAAAACCTCCTCTGGATGAGAACCACCGCTCTCAAGAAACGTCCAGTACCAGGGTAGGTGACCAAGGATTCTGTCGCCCAAGAGATGACAGAAGGTTCTAGATAAATGCGCACTCCATTGCCATTCACAAGACGTTTTGTTTTCACTCTCAAAAGCGGCAGATTTTTTTTTTTTTTTTTTTTTGAGACGGAGTTTTTTGCTTTTTGTGGCCCAGGCTGGAGTGCAATGGCGCGATATCGGCTCGCTGCAACCTCGGCCTCCCGGGTTCAAGCGATTCTCCTGTCCCAGCCTCCCAAGTAGCTGGGATTACAGGCGCAAGCCGCCATGCCTGGCTAATTTTTTTGTATTCTAGTAGAGACAGGGTTTCTCTGTGTTGCCCAGGCTGGTCTCGAACTTCTGAGCTAAGGCAATCCACCCGCCTCGGCCTCCCAAAGTGCCAGGATTACAGGCGGGTGAGCCACCGCGCCCGGCTAGAGATTCTTTACAGGACATATTAGTCTTTGTCTTTTGCCCCCACCCCTCCCCGATATTGGAAAGATGAACTAAGTGAAACATGCCTTAGTAAAAACATTGTGCCAACTTGAAACCTTGATTTAGTAAAAAATCTCAATGCTTAGATCCTTTGTCCAATGGTAGTATTTATCAGATGTATTCAGCTTGCTCAGAAAATCAAAAGGGCATTACAACCACAAAAGCAAAGGAAAATAAGAAAACTTCCCATCTTGTTCTAGTTGTAAAGATTAAACTGAAATGATTAGGCTTTTCGATTCGTGAGCCAAATACCGTAACACCCTGGCCTTTGACGGGTTTGGATTTTTAACATTACTCGTGGTATTTTAGGAAGTGAGGTTACAGTTACATTTCTTATAGCTGCTAAGTGTATTAAGTTGAATGTAAGGATGCATAATATTGTTTGAATTGAGCCCCACTACCAATTCTTTAACAAATGGCATGAATTCTTTTTTTTTTTTTTTTTGAGACAGAGTCTTGCTCTGTCGCCCAGGCTGGAGTGCAGTGGCCGGATCTCAGCTCACTGCAAGCTCCGCCTCCTGGGTCTACGCCATTCTCCTGCCTCAGCCTCCGAGTAGCTGGGACTACAGGCGCCTGCCACCTCGCCCGGCTAGTTTTTTGTATTTTTTGGTAGAGACGGGGTTTCACCGTGTTAGCCAGGATGGTCTCGATCTCCTGACCTCGTGATCCGCCCGTCTCGGCCTCCCAAAGTGCTGGGATTACAGGCTTGAGCCACCGCGCCCGGCCCGGCATGAATTCTTACACGTAAATGATTTGGTGGAACTATTCTATCATAATTTCTAAATTGTTTATATACCAAGGTAGCCTTAATTTGTGTATGTTTCAGTACAATGAAATTCCCTCTGGCATGCTGTTTGGTTTGTATTTTGAGGAACGTTTTTCTCATGGGAAGAGGAATCTATGACTTCTGTACCTAGATAATTTGTTACATTAAAAAGCTGCTCTTTCAGCAATGTAAGTGTATACATACATGTTTTTATGAGAAAAAAAAAAGCAGCAGAGATCAGAAGCCTGCCACCGTGCTTGGAGAAGAAAAGAAGCCGCCGGTGGCCTTCGCAGTGCTCGCCGGGACTCGTAGTTCCGGGTCTGCGGGCTCCTCCCAGGCAGGGGTCTACTTCCTCTCTCCGCCGCGGCCGCAGCTCCCGGAAGCTGAGGGGGTTAAAGACTTTCTCTTCCTTTCCCCGCCTCTTAGTCCCGCAGATTGCTAGTCGACATAGCCAATAGGAGGGCGGACTGGTACTTCCTGTTATTTGATTGGTTTAAAGTTTTGCAACCGCCCAGACAAACTTGCCGAGGATTGGCTGAGCCTTCAGTTTTGAAAATCATAGATTTCGCCCGCGCTGCGCCGCCTGGTTGCTCCTCCCGTGCGGTGAGCCCCGAAGGCCCGGAGCCGAGTGGGTCTGGGCAAGCGGGGCGTCAGCTAGGGATACCACCGGATTTGGATCGGAGCAGCCTTCAGGGGACGTGGCGCAGTCGAGTGAGTGCGCGTGGGCGTGGGGATTGGAGGGTGGTTCGCGATTATTTCCCTGGCCTCTGCTCCGCCCCTGCCGACTCCAGACCAGGGTCGTGACTCCCCAACCCAGCTCCTGGCTGCCTGGGCATATGAGGGTCACCTCTTCCAAGTGGCGAGGTCTCCTGCCTTGGTTCTCGGGCCCGAGATGCCCCCCACCCCTTCCACCTAGGCCCTCAGCTTCCTAGAGCATAGCCCCGTCCCCTCCGCTCCCGGCTGCCTAGCACCTTGTTTTGTGCCTGCGAGGATTATTGTTGACTTGGACGCGCAGGAAGCCCGAAACCAACCCGGTGGTTTGACGGAATGATGCCAGATGGCATTTCTGTGCAGTTAAAACCCCTCTCTCAACGCCCCCGCCCCCAGCTGAGCAGCATTTTAAACTGACCATTTCCGGAGGCTGGGCCGCCCCTTGTCACTCCCCAAGCCTGTCCGCTGTCAGCGGTTCAGTCTCGTTCAGCTAACATGGGTTGCTCGCGGGGTTGCCCAGAGCCAAGACTGGGCGCCTTCCTTTCAGAGGTTGATATTTAGAAGGCGGTATAGCCGGGTAGTTAAGGGCACGGTTTAAAGGACGTATAGCCAGTGACTAAGGGCACGGTTCTATTTATGCCCCTGATTTACCGGCTGATTTTGACTTCTCTTTGCCTCAATTTCCTCATCTTCTCATGCATATCCTCAAGGCTGTGGTGAGAATTAAATGAGATGATGTCTGACTTGGGCATGGAGTAGAACTCAGTAAATGGGAGCAGCTGCTATGAGCTTTCTGCACAGAGGTGTGGTAGGCACCCAACTTACAGCACCCTGAAAAGAACAGGAGTCATAGAGGAGGGCGATGGGGCCTTCAGTCTGGTGTATGGTGTGGAAGAAGTGTTGGAGGGGAAGAGTGGAGAGTGCCTCCCTCGGTGGAGTGGTGGCTGCTCTTTATCTGTGTGCAGTTGCTTACATGGGCTGAAGAAGAGATTTTTGCTGCTCTTCCAGGAGACTGATTCTTGGTACACTGACTCCTTCTTTTTCAGGGTCACCTCTGTTTTAACTTATGGTAACCCTTTTTAAATGGCTGCGCTAAGATCTAAGCAAACTTCCCCATGAAAGATGTCCAATTGCTTTCATGGACTTTGTGAAAGAAGCTCTCATCCACGTTGGCCATTTGAACAAATACTTTTTTAAAAGTTAGCCAGTTGTTGCTTTTCTCCGCAAATCTTTGGCTTCCTTAAACAGTTTTCTCTTTTCTGGCCTGAGGTTCTGCGCTTTGCCAGGGTTGTGGTCTGGGTGCAGAAGGGTTAGGGGAAGGTGAGGGATGGCAGTGAAAAGGCCTTGCCTGTGATTGGCTGGCTGCAGAGCCGAGGTTTCAGCCCAAAGCCTGTAGGATCCTGCCCGTTTGGCCCTGCCCTGATTATTGCTGCCCTTGGCATCTAGGAGCAGGGGCTTTGAACATGTGTTGGTCAGTTCTAACCTGTGCAGATTAAGTTTATTTGGTGCCCTTTGTGTGGTGGGATGAGCACCTGTAGGATGTTTATTTCTAGGTGTAGAGTTGATGGGTGGATTAATTCATTCAACAAGTATTCCTTGTTGCCAGGCACTGCTGTGCTCTGGGCACTCAACAATGAGCAAGTCAGACAGGGGCTTGCCCTCAGAGAGCAATTGTTTAGTGGGCAGGGACAGGCAGTAAGCAACAGGTAAACAAGCACCCAAGTGCTCTGCAGAGAATTGCAGTCAATGGGTGGGATCGTGGCTGGGGCTACTTTAGATTGGTGGTCAGGTTTCCCTGAGGATCTGAGATGCAAGCCATGAGGAGTGAGCCATACAAAATGGGAGACAGTGTTCCAGACACAGGCCAGAGCTTGTTGAGGAACAAAGGCTAGTGTGTCCCTGAATCAAGCCCAAGGAGGTCCCATGAGACTGAAACCTGACCTGGTGCTATGCCCTGTGAGGGATCAAGGGGTCAGCAATTTGTCCCTTCCTTCCAAGAGCTTCCATTGTAGATGGGAGGCTAAGCTATGCATGGTTCTTGTTTGTTTGTTTGTTTGTTTGTTTGTTTGAGACAGAGTCTCGCCCTGTTGCCCAGGCTGGAGTGCAATGGCACGATCTCAGCTCACTGCAGCCTCTGCCTCCCAGGTTCAAGTGATTCCCCTGCCTCAGCCTCCTGAGTAGCTGGGATTACAGGCATGTGCCACCACACCCGGCTAATTTTTATATTTTTAGTAGAGACGGGGTTTCACCATATTGGCCAGGCTGGTCTCGAACTCCTGACCTTGTGATCCACCCACCTCGGCCTCCCAAAGTGCTGGCATGAGCCACCGTGCCCGGCCAGTTCTTGGTTTTGAAGAGGTAAATCAGGATGGTGGGTCACTGCCCTGACTTGAGGCACGCAGCCTGTTGTTATGGCTTATGACCACCACCCATTCATTTGTTCTTTCACTCATTCTCCTGTTGGGATATTTATTGAGCCCCTGTTGTGATGTAGTAGAATACTTTTGTCTCTTGGAATCCTCAGGGAATTGGTTCCAGGACCTCCTTTGGATACCAAAATCTACAGTTGCTCAAGTCCCTGATATAAAATGGCATAGTATTTGCATATAACCTACACACATCCTCCTGTATACTTTATATCTCTACATTACTTGTAACACCTAATACGATGTAAAAGCTATGCAAATAGTTGTTATACTATCTTATTAGGGAATAATGACAAGGGAAAAGTCTATACATATTCAGTAGAGATGCAGCTTTTTTTTTTCAAATCCTTTCCACTGGTGGTTGGTTGCACCCATGGATGTGGAACTCACAGGTATGGAGGGCTGACTGTACTTCTTCCTTGCTTGAGGTTTTCGTAATGGTTATCAAGTTTATTTTTAAGGCAGAGTCTCGCTGCGACGCCCAGGCTGGAGTGCCGTGGCGCGATCTTGGCTCACTGCAACCTCTGCTTCCTGGGTTCAAGTGATTCTCCTGCCTCAGCCTCCTGAGTAGCTGGGATTATAGGCGCGCACCACCATGCCTGGCTAATTTTTTTGTATTTTGAGTAGAGACAGGGTTTCACCGTGTTGGCCAGGCTGGTCTTGAACTCCTGACCTCAAGTGATCCACCTGCCTCAGCCTCCCAAAGTGCTGGGATTACAGGCGTGATCCACCGTGCCAGGCTGGTTATCAAGTTTTAGGGAGGATACCTGAGCTGCTAGTTTTATAAGAAAGTGAGAAAAAACTGTTTTTGTGTTTTCCCTTGCTCAATGCCTATAGGCAAGTTTTCTTAAAAACAAGATATTGCTTACCGTTCCCTTCATGTTCTGTTTATGCTCCATTTGGAGGGCATTTCAGCTGAAGGGAGAGAGGTATGGGAGGCCCCTTGAGGACATATCTCAGGATCACTACTTTCTCACTCATTCCTTTGGAACATAGAATCCCTTCTGCTCACTGGCCGCTTAAAGAGGCAGCTGAGTTGGATGTTCTTTGGCCTGATGTCTGGAGTCAGCTTGCATATAGTGCAGGGTGGCTGTGTCTTAGCCCTTACTTAACCATGAGTAGTAAGATGAGGGCCTACTGGAGAGCGAGAGCAGGACTGTGTTTGGGCAGGGAGTGAGGGGCCCTGGGGTGGCCAGAAAGGCAGATGGCAGTGCCCTGTCATCTTCAGCCCAGAAAAGGCCATTTGTAAGGAGGACCATCATTGTCAGAATTGGCTGGGAACTGGGGACAGTCATGCTGTGGGGTGGGGGTGGACAGGGAGATATTTGAAGAGTGTGAGTACGAGGGCCCCTCTTTGCAGAAATGAGGTTAGGGCATTAGTGTTTGGAATTCTGCAGCTCTGGGGTGTGGCTGTGAGCAGAGAGGGGCCCTGGTTCGGGCACTGGGTGTTTGTGGTGGTTGTGGGTGGGATGGGTATGGCAGCTTGGAGAAAGCCCCGGACCCCTACCCTGAACCTCTAACTTGTGCCTCTTGTCCCTGTCTTCACCAGACAGAGCCACCATGGGGACGACAGCCCCAGGGCCCATTCACCTGCTGGAGCTATGTGACCAGAAGCTCATGGAGTTTCTCTGCAACATGGATAATAAGGACTTGGTGTGGCTTGAGGAGATCCAGGAGGAGGCCAAGCGCATGTTCACCAGGTGAAGGCAGGGGCACAGTGAGGGGATGGGAACACCAGCAGCGCCTGTCTGGGCTGCTTTGGTCTTGGGGACACAACAGCTCCTCATCCCCACCTGCCTGGCAAAACCAACAGCCTGTCAGGGCTCCCTGCTGTATACTCCGTGTGCAGTGTGCTAGGGGCCCGACCTAGTGTCATGGGAAGGGGCAGCAGGAGAGATCGAGTCCCTTGCCTGTTCGCCATTGTTGCTGGCTGGGCCTCTCAGGGTATGGGGCAATGGACGTGCACCTGGGGGCTTGCTTCCCTGCCGTGTCTCCAGGAGGAAGCCCTGAGTGCCCGCAGGTGATTTGCACGTGACCTTGGAGAACTTGCTTAGTGCTGGTCACCCCAGCTTGACCTGTCGCGGCCAGGAAATGGGCAGGGGCCAAGCTGGGTGGGAGAGGGGACCAGCGGTTCCCAGGCAGCCTCGAGTGACACCCTCCTGTACCAAACAGAGAGTTCAGCAAAGAGCCAGAACTGATGCCCAAAACACCTTCTCAGAAGAACCGACGGAAGAAGAGACGGATTTCTTATGTTCAGGATGAAAACAGAGACCCCATCAGGAAAAGGTAGGAAGGGTTGGGGGAGGGTGAGCTGGGCAGTGGGCTCTGCGGAGGCTTGGTGCAATCTGGGAGAGTTCGATTCTGAAGATGTTGATTTGGAAGTAGCAGCCTGTAGGAGGGATGGTGGGTACCACCGCGGGTACTGCGTGGGCCATGCTGAGAGGGGTTGGGATGCCACGGGGAACTATAGCTTGACCCAAGACCCTGGAGTCCAGATCTGTGGCTGTGTGTTAGGGATGGGGGTATTTGATCTGGGCCCTGGAGGCTGGGAAGTATTTCCATAGGTGGGATGAAAAAGAGAAGTCGTCCTTCTGTTAGGTGAATATGACCCGGGTGTGGACCACGTGGCTTGTCCCAGCCCTCATATTGTCATGCTTGTTTTAGTCCCCATCAAGAATGACTGGGGCTGCAGCGTGCTAGGGAAAGAGGCTGGGTCTTGGGGTTAGACCTGGGTGCGAACCCCAGCTCTGCCCCTTAGCAGAGCAGTATGGCTTTGAATTGAATTTTTGCCTCTGAGCCTCTGTTCCTCATCCCCAAAATGGGGATAGTGGTCCCTACCTCCCAGGGCCGTGCTCTGGATTAAGGGAGAGCGTGTGTAAGGCTTTCAGCGGGGGCTCGGTGCGGTGTGACTTCCGTCAGCCAGCGGTGTGGATGAATATAATCTTCCTAGCCAGTTCTGTGAGGACTGTGCATGATCCCCAATTTACAGTTAGGCAGACTGAGGCTCAGACAAGAATGGCCTGGGGCCTCCTGGCTAGAGGCGGCAGAATCTGGGCTGGAACCCAAGTCTTTTGCCTTCACATTCTCTCATCATACTCCATACAAGCTGGTGGCTCTTGGGGAGACTGGGCGCCACCCTGTCCTGCTGCCTGTCTCAGCCTCTGCCCTGCTGCCCCTGCCAGGTTATCCCGCAGAAAATCTCGGAGCAGCCAGCTGAGCTCCCGACACCTCCGCAGCAAGGACAGTGTAGAGAAGCTGGCCACAATGGCGGGGGAGAACGGCTCCGTCCTGCGGCGTGTGACCCGTGCTGCGGCTGCGGCTGCTGCGGCCACCATGGCATTGGCTGCACCTTCTTCGCCCACCCCTGAGTCTCCCACGATGTTGACCGAGAAGCCCAAGGATAACCGCACCCATTGCCAGCTGGTGCCTGTGGTGGAGATTGGCATCAGTGAGCGCCGCAATGCTGAGCAGCATGTCACCCAGCTTGTGTCCGTCCAGCCTCTGCCCCGTACTCTGTCCCCGACTCTGGCTTCAGCCACAGCTCCAGCCTCCCAGGGCATCCTGACATCAGATGAGGAATCAACACCTAAGAAGTCAAAGGCCAGGATACTGGAGTCCGTCACAGTGAGCTCCCTGATGGCTACACCCCAGGACCCCAAGGGTCGAGGGGTCGGGACGGGGCGGTCTGTGTCTAAGCTCAGGATTGCGCGGGTCTCCCCTGGCCCACGGGACTCGCCAGGCTCTCCAGACTCCCCGTGGCGGGAGCGGGTGCTGGCTCCCATCCTGCCGGATAACTTCTCTGTGCCCACGGGCTCTCCCGCGGACTCTCAGTCGGTGCAGCACAGCCTGGTCGCCCCGTCCTCCCTGAGTCCCCAAGTCTTAGCCCAGAAGTACTCTCTGGTGGCCAAACAGGAAAGCGTTGTCCGCAGGGCGAGCAGGAGGCTTGCCAAGAAGACTGCCGAAGAGCCCGCTGCCTCTGGCCGCATCATCTGTGAGTCTGGGGGCTTGGCGGTGGCGGGTGGTCCTTGGTGCCAGGCTCAGATGGAGGGTTTCTGAGGGATCATCTAGCAAGGAGCTGTCCAGAGAGCTTTCTGCAGTGAGGTGGATGTTCCACATCTGTGCTGTCCTGGGTGGTGGCCGCTAGCTGGCCCCATCTGGCGATTGTGTCCTCAAAATGTGGCTAGTCTGACTGAGGAACTGAATTTTAAATTGTATTGCATTTTAATTTTTTTAGATTTAAATAGTTACATGTAGCTAGTGGTTTCCACGTTGGATGGTGCAGATCTGACCCAACCTACTTGCTTTACAAGTGAGGAAATTGAGCTTCAGGGAGGCTGGCCACCATGTGGCCGTGGTTACTGGCCATGTTGAGGCTGGAGCCTGGGCCTCTTACTCAGGACCGGCTCGTTCCTCCCAACCCCGTGCTGCAGAGGCTGCTTAAATTCACCGGGTTTGTGCGCCGCCATTAGCGACACTGCGTTTGATCTGGAGGAGGGAATTATGGCAGCAGGTTCCTTCTGGCAGATCAGATGACTGGGCATCTGATGGGAGCCAGGAGGGGGAACCAAGCTGACTCTGGAGCTGGCCAGCGTGGGTCTGAGTGCCTACTCAGCCATTCACTTACCCCGCAGCCTGGGGCAGGTCCTGGAAACTTCACGGGCCTCCACTCCTCGCCTGTCAACTGGGGCTAATCGCGTCACTTCAAAGGGTCGTTGTGAGGTTTTCTTTGGTCCCCCCACACGGGGAATTTAGAAGGGTGCCTGGCGTATGGGAAGGACTGGGTAACGTTAGCTGCCCTCTCAGATCTCAGCTAAGGGGGCCGTTGCCCACTGGAGCAGGTGTCTGGAGGGGCAGGCTGGCTGCATGAGGAGGAGGTGAAGTCTGAGCTAGGAGGGTTCTGAAGGATGGCTGCGCTTTTGCTAAGCGGAAAAAAAAAAATGCAGGGATATGTATTCTTGGCAGAGGGAACAGCTTGTACAAAGACCCTGATGCCTAAAGCAACAAGTGATGGGGGTCTGGGGCTCATGTCTCACACAAGAGCTTGAACTTGACCCCACCGAAGCAAAAGAAGTGGCCTGATGATGGTGAATGGAGGGAAACAGGGAGACCAGATAGGAGGCTGTTGTAAGGATGCAGTCAGAGGATGGGCGAAGCAGCGGATTGGTGGTGAGGATAGGCCAGGATTTATCTTTTTTCTTTTTTTTTTTTTGGATGCAGAGTCTCACTCTGTTGCCCAGACTGGGGTGCAATGGCACGATCTCGGCCCACTGCAACCTCTGCATCTCGGGTTCAAGCAATTCTCCTGCCTCGGCCTCCCGAGCAGCAGGGATTACAAGCGCCTGCCACCACACCAGGCTCATTTTTTTTGTTGTTTTTTAGTAGAGATGGGGTTTCACCATGTTGACCAGGCTGGTTTCGAATTCCTGACCTCAAGCCTCACCCAGTCTACCAAAGTGCTGGGATTACAGGTATGAGCCACTGCGCCCAGCCCAGGTTTTATCTTAATGCATATTAAATAGTAGCTGGCATCTGCCAGGCACTTTAAGATTTATAAAAGGAAAAGTTATTTCATTTGGTCCTTACAGCAGCACTGTTAGCTTGTGAGGAATTTTTCACTTTATAGAGGAGGAAACTGAGGCTTAAGGAGGCCATGGAATCTGTAAATCGGGAAGCTGGGGCTTGAGCACTGCATGTTTCATTCTGTCCAGAAAGTCAGGCGCTTGCAGAAGAGGCTTTGTGCAAGGCCCCAGGGCAGGGCCTGTCAGGCAGGGGAGGGCACCTCACCTTGGCAGCCTTCTCTGTGCCTGAGTCTCACTGCCTGGGGACGGGCCTGCTCCAGTGTTTGAGGTGACGCAGTCTGGGGTGTGTCCAGATGTGCAGTCTGGCACACTGTCTATTTCTGGATTCTCAGAAGGATCTAAATGGTTCTGATCTGTTTTGGAGATTTTCTCAGGCCTGGATCTGATCTTGGGAAGGGGCCCAAGGGGGCAGGTGAGGCTGGGCCTGTAGAGGGAGAGCCAGGCGGGGTTGCAGAGAATCTCAGACCTTTGGAGCAGACATCCGGCTCTGCAGCTCATGCCCTTCCATCACTTTTCCCTCTCTATCTACCTGTTCCCTGCCAAAGAATGGGCTTCTGATTTGACTGCTGCATGTGCCCTAGGTCTGTCTGACTCCCAGCCCAGCATCATCTCTCTTCTTGAGGTGGGTAGAGGAGAGAGAGGAGGATACAGGATCTAGGATCTGGAGTCACACAGACCCTGGGTGATCTTGGGCACACCCCTTCTCTCAGCCTCAGTTTTTCTGTGTGAAATGGTGATAACACTGGCTTTGAATGTGAGTAGATAACTCATCTCAGTGCTTGGGTGTAGTGGATACTCAGTACATCTTATTTGAGAAAACTCACCAACGGCTGACACTCAGTTTGGGTGTGACAAGGCCGACCCCTAGCGAGGAGCCGCAAGGGTGTCAGGGAGTGGGGCAGTGACGGGGAGGAGGCTTCGCGGGGTCTCCCAGATCCCAGGTTCTGGGAGAGGCTCTCGGGCAGCTGCGAGGTGGGGTCTTGGTTTGGGTTTTCCCCATGAGCAGCACTTGACACAAGGATTTGAGTTCAATTCATTAATTTTTGAGACATTAACGAGTTTAATGTCTCAAAAATTAAATTCGGGATGGGAAGGAAACACCTGCACCAGAGGAATGGGAAAATGAGACAGGAAAAAAAGCCAGCAGGCAGGATGGGCCGAGGGGGCCTCTGGAAGCCAGAGTGTGGCCCCGGGGCGTGGAACTGCTGTGTGCCGGCAGGAATCCCCTGCCTCCTGGCCTGGTGCGCACCTGCCTGCGGGGCCTATGGGGCCTGTGGGGCCTGTGGGGCCTGTGGGGCAGCAGTTCTGAAGTGGATAGGAAGGGACAGGCCCACTGCCACAGGGCTCCACCTTGGGGCGTTCGAGCCACCTCCGCATTGGAGAACAGCCCTTCCGTCCCTCTGCCAGTGCTTGGGCCACTTCCCTACCACCAGACCAGCTCCGAGGCCTGAATGGCGTGCAGATGGCACTTAGCATTCCAGAGAACCCTTGTGCTGGTGGGAGAGCCATGTAGTCACGTGGCATCTTCATCAGGGAGCACATGAGCTGGGATGACACTGCATGGGGAGATGAGGGGGACGTATCTTCTGGGTATGGACCCCTTAAATGGGGGTCATCACCACCCGTGACTGTCAGCCCGGCCCTGCAGCTGCTCCCACCACCTCCCCAAACCTGGCTACTATACCCAGGAAGGGTCCCGGCTTCCCTTCTCTGTGGCCTGTTGTCTTCCCTGTTTTCCTGAGACCCTGTGCGCCCCAACCTCCCACTGGCTGCCTCCCAGCCTGAACTCTGGCCAAGCCCCCATGGCTCAGGATGTGCCAGCTCAGCTACCTTCTCTCTGTTCCCCAAAAAAGCCTCTTTTTTTCCTGCCTCGTGGCCTTGACCCTCCTTCTCCCCAGACCAGTGGCACTGGGAACAGGCATGCTCCCAGCTAGGAAGAAGCCGGGGACATAAAGCTAGCAGCTATGAGGAGGATGCCAGGGTGAGTGCTGAGGGTGAGGGCCCCGGGCTTCCTGTTTTTAATGATTAAGCCTCAGCCTCAAAAAGCTTTTGACAGCCTGGACAAGATGGCCAGACCCTGTCTCTACCAAAATGGGGAAAATTAGCCAGGTATGGTGGCAAGTGCCTGTAGTCCCAGCTACTCAGGAGGCTGAAGTGGGAGGATTGCTTGAACCCAGGAGGTCAAGGCTGCAATGAGCTGAGATTGCGCCACTGCACTCCAGCCTGGGTGACAGAGTGAGACTCTGTTAAAAAGAAAAAAAAAAGCTTTGATTATGAGGTTTTATCTATTGATAGTTATTGTATTAGAAATTAAAACAGGATTTTAAAAGTGTTTAAATTTTAGTTAAGATTTTTATATGAATATCTAGTACTTTAAAGATTTAAAAATATTGTTTAGTATTTTGACATTGCAAAATGTAAGTACCAAGCCTATCACCTGTTTACATTAAGACTTTTTATGAAAAAATAACTTTTCCAAAAATGTAAAAAACAAAAATGTACTGAGGAGACTGGCATTATTCTACATTTTGCAAATCTCTTTATTGTGTGACTTTAAAGAAGCCTCATTCTGTGTTTGATCTGTTGTTGCATTGCGCTGTTTGGGTTACAGTAACTGAAGAACTGGCCGGGCACGGTGGCTCACACCTGTAATCCCAGCACACTGGGAGGCTGAGGTGGGCGGATCATGAGGTCAAGAGATCGAGACTATCTTGGCCAACATGGTGAAACCCCATCTTTACTAAAAATACAAAAAAATTATCTGGGCGTGGTGGTGTGTACCTGTAGTCCCAGCTACTTGGGAGGCTGAGGCAGGAGGATTGCTTGAAACCGGGAGGTGGAGGTTGCAGTGAGCCGAATTCACACCACTTCACTCTGGCCTGGATGACGGAGTGAGACTCTGTCTCAAAAAAAAAAAAAAAAAAAGAAGCTGAAAAACATCTGCCCTCACACAGACGTGTAGTTGGGAAAGGGAGGAATATCTTCATAGCTTTTTCAGATAATTGTGCATATTCTTTGTTATCAGGACCAGCGCAAGAAGTGGTTGTTCTTCAAGGTTTGTTGTGGTGTAGAGTCTGAAACCATGTTGCTGGTTCCGTAGGGGTCTACCTTGCACCTTTTTAAAATTTTTTTTAAAGATGAAATCTCACTATGTCACCCAGGCTGGAGTGTAGTGGCATGATTTTGGTTCACTGCAACCTCCGCCTCCCGGTTCAAGAAATTCTCTTGTCTCAGCCTCCCGAGTAGCTGGGATTACAGGCGCCCACCGATGCCTGGCTAATTTTTGTCTTTTTAGTAGAGACGGGGTTTCACCATGTTACCAGGCTGGTCTCAAACTCCTGATCTCAAATCATCCGTCCGCCTCGGCTTCCCAGAGTGCTGGGATTACAGGAGTGAGCCACCACGCCCAGCCACGCTTTGAATGGATCTTTTAGATGTGTGTGATTTCATAACTACATACATCGATCATTTGGAAAATATTGCTTCACCAGGTTATGCACGTCTTCCAAGTGTTGACACCCTTCATTGTATAATATCCTAAAAAAGCACATTTGTTTTCTGACCTCATCAGAAAAGTCCTTAGGTATTAGGATGCTGTGGCCCTGCTGGTGGTGGATACGCGCTTTTCAAAATTCTACTCTTGGATTCTTTTTGTTTCAATTTTTAAATTATTGTTAGCACATGGTGTTTTATTTTTGTGATGGATTCACTTCATTGACTTGTGAGAAAATGTCTTCCAGATAGCCAAGATTGAATAACCAATGCGTGTCAGTCATTCTTTTAAATAATAATAGTGTTCCAGGTGAAGAATTGGCTAGTGCAGCTGGCGGCTTAGAGACGAGCGCTTTTCGCGGAGAGTTTGCGTTTGCAGCAACAGGCGTTCGGCACACTTCCCACCTCAGCACACAGGAGAGTAGAAATGGCATGTACTTGAGTTTAGATTTAGTAAAATTAGGACTTTTGCAGGCGCGGTAAACTCACGCCTGTAATCCCAACGCTTTGGGAGGCTGAGGCAGTGTGGTTCACTTGAGGATGAGTTCGAGACCAGCCTGGGCCAACATCGCGAAACCCTGTCTCTACTAAAAAATATAAAAAATTAGCTGAGGTGTGGTGGTACGTGCCTGGCACCCCCCCCCCCCATTCCAGCTAATTGGGAGGTGAGGCACAAGAATCGCTTTGAACCCAGGGAGGTGGAGGGTTGCAGTGAGGCTGAGATTGAGTCACTGCATTCAGGCCTGAGTGGACAGAGTGAGAGTCTGTCTCCCAAAAAAAAAAAATAAAAAATTGTACTTTTTTACACCTTCATCAAGGACATTCCTCAGTGAAAAACTGACATCTCTCTTCCTGTTGATGTGTGTGGGTCCGAGGATTAGTGTTTGATTTTGCTCTTGGCCTCAGTGTGGGGGCTGAGGCTTCAGCAGCTTGTTCCTCATTGCTTTGTGCCTCAGGGCAATGTCAAGCACAGATGAAAGGGGGAAAGTATATTTTAGTATCATGATTAGTTATGACTCGTGGATCCACCCAAGGGTCTAAGGACATCCAGGGATCAGAGAATGGCAAACTGAGAACTATGTGGCCTGGACATTCTCTCTCTCCTCCTTTGTAAACTCCTCCAGGGACCAGGCTCAGGTTCCCCCCGTCATACGGCTTTTAAAATTCTCATGCTCTGG